ACACAAAAACTAAGACTCAATTACTCTAAGTTTAGCTGCTTGTGACTCCATTTCTTTTTTAAAAGCCCTTACAAAATAAATATAATTGGTTTGATTGCTTGAATAAACTATTTTTTTTACTTTTTTATTCAGGGGAAGAGGTATTATAATCATGCAGTCAGATTCAGGTTTCCCACTTGAAGAAACAGGCTAAAAAGGGACATACTTGGAACAGAGCTTGGAATAGTATGCCTGACAGGCTGTAAAGAGCAAGCAGTCAAGTTCTCATCACCTGGCTTCATCTGTACTCTTAAGATACATTATTTATCTTCTAAATGTACAAATGCAAATTTCATCCAAGAAGCTCCAACATCTTTTGATGAGGATTGCCTGGTAAGAAGCTGGCTGCTTTTTGATTGACATAGCCCGGGGTAACTTCCTGAAAATTTTAATTTAGGGAGGAAGGTCTCCAACCTACGTAACTCAAGACCATTTTTACTGTTTCTGTTCCTATGCAGGAAAACCTAATAGCTAACACTTAAGGACTATTTATTATGTTCCGGGCACTAAATCATTACAACTCTAAAAGCAGTTGTGCTCATTTTATCCCCTTTTAAATGGTGAAGAAATAAAGCTCAGAGAGGTTATGTAATTTGCCCAAGCTCACACAATTATTAAGTAGCAAAGTAGGGCTTCAAGCTCAGGCAGTGTGATTCTAGAGCCTGTCCTCTTTATTACTATACCGTATGACTTTCCACTTCCTGAAGAAAACCATTCATGGGACATTTCCCAGTTGTTGGAACCTTAACCTTAATGCCTGGAATACTTTTAAATGTCTTGTTTTTTAATACATAGTGTATGTAAAGCACTTAGTAAAGTGCCTGACACATAATTGAACACTCATAAAAGCATTAGGTATTAAGGCTTACACGGCAATAATTATAACACTTTTTCTTTCTCATTCTTAAACTATCCATTTTTCACTCAAATACTCTCATTAGAGGAGACCTGCTCTCACCCTGACCTTATTTTTCATGGTCTAGAGTGGACCACTTAACAAGACCTTTCTCAACATAGCCTTATCTAGCTCAGCAGATCACTTTTCCTACATTCGTTCAATTATCTTGTCTCAGAGGTTTTTCTCCTCTCCAATTTAAATTTTGTTGAAATTTTGTTGCCGTGCAATTGTCAACAGTTTGACTCAAATAAATTCTTATAAGTTTTCTCTTAGGCTTGATATTTTTAGTCAACAGTTGTATTATAATTTTAATACATTTTTTCCATTCTTAAAAAGTGTATTCATTTTTCTGGCACCCTCTTTAAATAATTACACTGGCTTTTTTCTTCATAGGGCCGCTCGGTGAAAAGTGTCCTGTGGCCTGATATACTTCCCTTCAGGTATTTCAATTCTAGGGTGAAGAAAGGACATGGCTGCAAGTCCAGCTTAGACTTGAGCAAGCTCACTCGGAACCGGGAGTATGAGGGACCCAGTTGCCCTACCGGCTTGTTTATGCCGATACACACATCATGTCCCATCCGCAGGACTACCTAGGTCTGGGGAAAGTATTTGCCAACGTACCCGGAACAGTTTCCAAGGTTTTGTCAGGCTCTAGTTGCGGTGTGGTTGGTTTATTCTGGAACCCAGGGCAACCGAGATCTTCCCACGCTCGCGAGAGCGCCCCCTTCTCCCCCGGTTTCCGGGACACAGCGGCACTTATGGCTCAGGTGTCTGGTTCGCGCAGCCCGGAGAGAGAGGCCTCGGGCTTCAGGGGGAAGCGTCGCAGTTCCTCAAAGAGCCCTAAGCCCAGCAAATCCGCTCGCTCCCCGCGGGGACGCCGCTCTCGTTCGCACTCTTGTTCTCGCCCGGGGGATCGGAATGGCCTCATTCATCAGCCGAGTGGCTGCAGCCAAGGCTCCCGAAACCAGTCCTACCGCTCTCGCTCGCGGTCAAGCTCTCGAGAGCGGCCCTCTGCGACGCGGGGCACCCCCTTCGCTTCTGCCTCCTCGTCTGCCTATCATGGCGGCTACTTACGCCCCTATGGGAACGACAAGCCTTGGCCCAGCCTCCTGGATAAGGAGAGAGAGGAGAGCCTGCGGCAGAAGTGAGTGAGACGGATGCACCTTCTCTTGCTCTAGCCCACCTGCCTTCCAAGTCTGATTTATCGTTCATCCCGCTACTAACTATTCGCATTTTGCTCTCTCTGCCTGCCTCGCGCCCATTTTCATCCCTTCAGTCCACCCACTACAACGCCTTATTCGCTCTTTTCTTCCCTAGGTTTTCACTCATCCTCGGGCCCCTTTGTACAGTGCCCTGGTCTCCCGCTACTCCTTTCTGCCTCCTGGCTTGTAGCGGACATGGCCTACCGGAATTATATAGCATCTACTTGGTTGTGTGGTTATCATTCGTGAGCATGTTTTTTATTCCCCACTAGACTGATCTCACAGAAAGGAGGAGCTCTATTTTATCGATCACAAAATTCACACTGCTTAGACCGTTGTAGGCACACAGCCATGGCTTGTTGAATGATCACACAGGTATGACATGATAACAGGATATGTAAGTGGAAATGTTTTGTAGCGAGTTGCGAAGGGTTGAGATTTAGGGTTTTAAATTGGAGAGGAGAAAAACCTCTGAGACAAGATAATTGAACGAATGTAGGAAAAGTGATCTGCTGAGCTAGATAAGGCTATGTTGAGAAAGGTCTTGTTAAGTGGTCCACTCTAGACCATGAAAAATAAGGTCAGGGTGAGAGCAGGTCTCCTCTAATGAGAGTATTTGAGTGAAAAATGGATAGTTTAAGAATGAGAAAGAAAAAGTGTTATAATTATTGCCGTGTAAGCCTTAATACCTAATGCTTTTATGAGTGTTCAATTATGTGTCAGGCACTTTACTAAGTGCTTTACATACACTATGTATTAAAAAACAAGACATTTAAAAGTATTCCAGGCATTAAGGTTAAGGTTCCAACAACTGGGAAATGTCCCATGAATGGTTTTCTTCAGGAAGTGGAAAGTCATACGGTATAGTAATAAAGAGGACAGGCTCTAGAATCACACTGCCTGAGCTTGAAGCCCTACTTTGCTACTTAATAATTGTGTGAGCTTGGGCAAATTACATAACCTCTCTGAGCTTTATTTCTTCACCATTTAAAAGGGGATAAAATGAGCACAACTGCTTTTAGAGTTGTAATGATTTAGTGCCCGGAACATAATAAATAGTCCTTAAGTGTTAGCTATTAGGTTTTCCTGCATAGGAACAGAAACAGTAAAAATGGTCTTGAGTTACGTAGGTTGGAGACCTTCCTCCCTAAATTAAAATTTTCAGGAAGTTACCCCGGGCTATGTCAATCAAAAAGCAGCCAGCTTCTTACCAGGCAATCCTCATCAAAAGATGTTGGAGCTTCTTGGATGAAATTTGCATTTGTACATTTAGAAGATAAATAATGTATCTTAAGAGTACAGATGAAGCCAGGTGATGAGAACTTGACTGCTTGCTCTTTACAGCCTGTCAGGCATACTATTCCAAGCTCTGTTCCAAGTATGTCCCTTTTTAGCCTGTTTCTTCAAGTGGGAAACCTGAATCTGACTGCATGATTATAATACCTCTTCCCCTGAATAAAAAAGTAAAAAAAATAGTTTATTCAAGCAATCAAACCAATTATATTTATTTTGTAAGGGCTTTTAAAAAAGAAATGGAGTCACAAGCAGCTAAACTTAGAGTAATTGAGTCTTAGTTTTTGTGT